CTGGAAACCTGAATGGAGGGTCCTCCAGAACTGACAATAGAATAACTGTCTCATCCAGCTGAGATCCTCTTAGGTGTATAGCTGAAAGATAGGCACATAACAGAGATAATACACAATTATGTTTATTGCTGCACTATCCATAGTAGCCAAAATTTTGAGCCAGCCTAGAGGAATGGGTGGGAAAATGTGGGATGTATGTCAGTGGAATTTTATTTAGTCATGAAGAAGAATGAAATTATGACATTTTAAGAAGAGTCATGGAACGTCAGACTATCATGGTAAACAAAATAAGCCAGTCCCAGAAAGATAAACCTGTGTGTTCTCAATGTGGAACTTCAGCCTTGCATGCACAGTGAGGCTGAGTGGGAACAGAGCAGGTGACATAAATGCAGAGGAGGAATTATTGTGGGTGGAAAAAGAGGACCCAGAACAGGTGGGAGTGGGGCAAAGAGTTGGCAAGTGAAGGCAAAGGACAACGGCACATGTGTGAAAAGTTCAGTGCAAGACCTTGCTTTGCATTCTAACCTAAAAAATTGCTAAATATATTAATAAAGAATGCGTGCATAAGAAGTAAATTCTTGTCACTGGAGCACTTTTAGAAGACTACTTCCTTTTCTTTCCTCTTTCTTTCACATGGGGCCTCAGCTCGCTGTACCATCACTATGCACCTGATGTAGTCTATTCTACTTCTGAGCTCATGGCAGAGGTGTGAACTTATTATAACTTGCAAATAATCTTCTTAAAATAGTTTTTTTTGGAAAGCTCTGCATACTGGTTATTGAAAAAATGATTCTTCAATAGTATATCTTTTGATGGGACTATTTCAACTATTAAATTTTTATTATTTGTGTGTGTATTCTAGATAATTGTTTATATATTTGCTTATCTTTTAAATTTATTTTTATTGGTTTTAATTATATTCATGTGTGGGTATGTGAGTACAGAGGTGAGATGTATTGGTTTACCCTGGAGCTAGAGTTAGAGGTGGTTGTGAGCTACCTGATGTGGGTGCTGGGATCAAACTTGGGTCCTTTGGAAGAGCAGTATGTGTTCCTAACCAGTGAGTAATCTCTCTAGATTCACCTTAACTTTTAAAAAAGGTATCACTGTATTTAATAAACCTTCAATAAGTGCCAACATCTATACATCAAGAACTTTCTTGGAAAACTGCATTTCAAAGTCTCAAGAGATCTTTAAAACTGAGCCTCCATCTTTGTATAGCCTTTTAATATGGATATGAAAAACAGGCATTATCTTTGGAAGGACCCGTGGGAGGATGACTACATGCTTTGTATATGAATGACTGTGTGATCCTTAAAAAGAAACACTTTAATTATCATGGTGTCAAGTTTGAAATATGTTTTTTTATTATATAGAGAGTTTTATTAATAAACTCTAGTTTATTAATATAATATATAGAATGTAGTGGTTTAAATATAAATGACCCTCATAGAGTCAGATATTTGAATACTTGGTCCCCAGTGGGTGGAACTATTTGGGAAGGATTAGTAAGTGTGGCCTTGCTGGAGGAGGTGTGTCTCTGGATATGAACTTTAAGAATTCAAGAAACCATTACAATCCAAGTTAGCTCTCCTTGCCTTGTGCAGTGAGCCCCCTCCAGTTACTGCTCTAGCATCATGCCTGTCTGCCTGCTGACATGCTAACCACTATTATGATCTTGGACTCTAATAACCCTCTGAAAATGTAATGCCCCCAAAACTCCTTTCATACATCGTATTGATCATGGCATCTTATCAAAGCAGTAGAGAAGTAACTAAAATCTATCTATCTATCTATCTATCTATCTATCTATCTATCTATCCATCCACCCACCCACTCCTTTATCTATCCTATCTATCTATCTATCTATCTATCTATCTATCTATCTATCTATCTATCTAATCTATATGTATAATGTACTAATCCCTGTTCCCCTTTTTGCTCCTCTTCCTACTTTCCCAACTTTCCCCTCCCCCCTCCTTCTTCTCCCTCTACCTCTTCCCACTTCCCCCATCTGCTGCTCAGAGAGGGTAAGACCTCCCATGGGGAGTCAATAAATTCTGTCATGTCACCACATTGAGGCAGGATCAAGGCGCTCTCCCTTGTGTCTAGGCTGAGCAAGATTTCTCTTTATAGGAAATGGGTCCCCAAAGGCCAGACCATTCATTAGGGATAGATCCTGGTCCCACTGCCAGGGGCCCCATAAACTGCCCAAGCCATTCACTGTCACCTGCTTTCAGGGGGCCTAGATTGGTCCCTGGTTGTCAGTTCAGAGTCAGTGAGCGCCCACTAGTTAGGGTCATCTGTTTCTGTGGGTTTCCCCATCATGGTCATGTTATCGCTCGTCCCTCTCTTCTACCAAACTCCAGGAGCTCTGTCCAGTGGTTGGTTGTGAATCTCTGCATCTGTTTCCATCAGTTATTGGATGAAGGTTTTAGGAGATCATGTCTTTCTGGATCTGGGTTACATCACCCAGGATGAGTTTTTCTACTTCTGTTCATTTGCTTGCATTTTTTTTTGCAACTGTGTAGTACTCCATTGTGTAAATGTACCACGTTTTCTTTATCATTCTTCAGTTGAGGGGCATCTAGGTTGTTTTCAGTTTCTGGCTATTATGAATAATGCTGCTATGAACATAGCTGAACAAATGTCCCTCTGGTATGAGTGTACCTCCTTTGGGTATATGTCTAAAAGTGGATGGATCTTGAGGTAGATTGATTCCCAATTTTCTGAGAACTGACCATGCTGACTTCTGTCTTTCTTCATTTGCTTGTTGTTTGGTTTTGCGATATGGTCTTACATAGCCAAGCTTGAGCTGGAACTTGCTATATAGCCTAAGTTTGCTTTGAAATCATGTTCTTTTTTCCTCTACCTTCCAAATACTGAGATTCTTAGCATTTGCCACTATATCTGAACATCCTTGCATTTTGTAACTAACTGTCATATCTTATAATTGAAATTCAGATATCACTATGCGCACCATCATCCTGGCTTTGCAAGCCATTTAGTGTGGTATCACTGCTCTGGCTCAAAGATTTAGAAGCACACAGTTCATTCTTCACTGCTGATGGCCATGGATATGGAGGCTTTCTGCTTATTATCTGTAGAGGTACCTGCACTTTGGATCTTCATGCAGAGAACAATAACTTATTCATGTTTCTCATTGCGTATCTTCACTTCAGGAGGCAGTGTATGTCACATGATCTTCAATACTGTGTGCACATTTTATTCAGCTTTCAACCAGGCCTATCTTCAGTTTAATGCAACATCTTCTTGCTGCTGTAACTATTAAACAACCGCATACCACCACATTCTAAATAACTCTAAAATAATACAGAATCCTTATCTGGTACTTGATATTTTCAGGCTCTGAGATCCTTTTGAGCACATAGAGATGGAAGAAAGCAGGCATTCATGGATTGTGAGTCAGTTCTTTTCACAGAATTGAATTTTTTGTTTTTATATCTCTGAGTACTTAAAAAATATTGTCATGTTCCCCACAAAATGCAGCTTGGATGTGTGCATACACATAGTCATGTGTGTTAGAGGAGGAGGGCAAGATTTGGAAGCCATTCTATGTCACTGTAGACATTCTTATACATATACACATATACACCCAAGAAACTTCTAGAACTGTTGGAGCCATCACTTCACAGAAGGCTTTCCAGGGTAGTGAGCTGTGTTGCTGGTTACAGAAATAATAATTTAGTTTGTTGCATAAAGTGTGATTTTATCAATTTAATCAATGTCAACTGTTTCCTCTGTGATGACCAGAATCCTCCCAGAGCTATACCATGAGAAATAGCCCTAATTTTATTCTGCTTCAACTAAGACTGTGTTCTTGTCCTCTTTTCTAGGGATATTTCTGAAAGGTCTCTACAAGCTCAATAGAAAAAAATACATTCAATCAACAGTGTCTGGCATAAGGAGCACAAGAGAATGAGAAAGGGCTGTTTCTATGCTGTAAAGCAGATTCTAACCCTGATAGAAAGATGTGTGACTGTCAAGCACAAGCAGTTGGGGTTTGCTCTGCTGTTCACAGTCGTCACTTAACTGAACTTCTAGCAATGTACGGACCCACATCAGATGTGGGGACTTCATATCACAGCGTCAATGGCATGGAACCATTTTATTCAGCCTCAAAAAAAGATTTATATCCCAATGTTCTAGAGATGATAATTACCCAAAGACTAGACACCTCATCCTTATTAATATAGATTTGTCCTTAGGAGGTGTGCATGGAGGAATTCTAGAAACTAGACATATTTTTTCCCCACTGAGTTCCTGGAAACAGTCATATGTGTTTCCAGGACAATGGGTTTCTGTACTTTAGGAAAGAGGGAAAGTCCTTGAGGAAATTGACCAATCAAAGAGAAAGAATCAGCATGGTTAATCTGACTCTGGAAGAAAAGCAGCTTTGCCTCTGCCAAGTGGGAAGGACTTTGGAGTGGGCGTGCAGCCGCTGTGAGAATCTGACATCCTTTGCCAGATTCTGGGACCTTGGATTCTGGGAATGAGAACATTAGCCATTGATTCATTCAGCTCCCTTTCATCCAAAAGATAACAATCTGGACACCCCGAAAGCCTGTGCTATCCAACAGATGCTGTTTCTTCAGAGGTGGCCCTCTGGGCTACAAGGGTCCTGTCCTCCCAATTGGACTTCATCTCCAGTTTGAGTCACAAAACCGTGTCGTTACAATCAGAGCATCCTCGAGACTAAGAGGTCAAGTTCATTTCTAATATCTATGAAAGTTTTCCCATCATCATTAATGACCTCATGGCTGGAAAGTTTGAATTTTGCTAAGAGCTATGAACATGGAATAGCTTTAATTAAAGAAAAAGATACTCAATAATTGTTGGCTTGACATTTATAAGACAATAATTCGAGTAAAATCATATTCCATGAGAGAAATGGAATGTCCTCTTATGCTATTACCAGAATCTAAGGGTAAAATTAATTTAAGTTTAAATAAATCTTTGCAAAATTATAACAAAAATACCGGGCGGCTTCTGAGTATCTCTCCAGACATCTAAACACGGCTGCCTGACGAAGATGGTTTCGGAAATAGGCTGGGTTTAAAACAATACTCCTGTAAAGAGATCAAAGAAATACAAATGGCATTAATCCTTAAATGACAATTACCAGAAGTATATAGGAATGTAATCACATGTATTCAATTTTCTCTATCATCTTAAAGTATGCTAATGAATGAGATGAGGTCCCTCGTGATTTATCGGGGAAGACAAACAAGCCAGCATGATTGGAAAACAGATTATGTTTGCATTATAGAAGCTACTTGGCAGTACTGAATTTATTTTTGTGAGTCTGGTAAAGGTAAGGAATGCAAACCTAACTTATGCTGTGTATACAACATGGTGCTACTCGATTTTGCGTGTGTATACCAGGCAACACTTGCGGGTCCTCTATGACGCCGTCTTGTATATATCGTACACTGTACTTGCCCTTGCGTCTCCTGCCTCTGGCCTCCTTACTATGTTTCCCTAAGCGGTTTCACACCGTGTACTCTGGGGTGGCTACTTTAAAGAAGGGAGTGATTGTAAACGGTTGAATTTTTGATAAAAGGGCCTGTAACTGTCGCATTTAGTTGGAGAGTTAGGCTTTGTGGAAGGTGTGGAGCATGTGTATATATCTGCCGAAGAGGCTGGTCTCAGCCTCCCCTTTTCAGGTGAGGGCTTTCTCAGCTTGCCCTTCTTTTCCTCTTCAGAGCAATTGCAAGGCTCAGCTCACTGTAAACGTCCAGTCTCTTGAGCTGCTGGCTTTTTTGTGCTGTCCGAGAGTTTTAGTATTTCAGTCAAAATTCAGATGAACATGTCTTGCTGGCTTCTTCTACAGTTAAGCTGACAGGAATTCCCCTTTCTTGCTTCCTTCAGAGTTCTTAGGCTAGGCAACACTAGAAGAATTTGACAGAACTGGGGTCTGTTCAGAAGCAGTTCTTAGCCATCATTGATAAGGGAGTCCTCTGTTAGTGCAAGTCTCAGAGGCAGCTCCTGCTACACTTGGAGACGTGGGGATTCAGATGCCAACAGGGGTTACTATAGAACATTCTAAGAACATACTATAGAACATAGGCTGATGGGGTTACTTGGAACTGGGTCATTTTTGAAGTTAACAGTTGATTTTCATTTTGAGAAATACTGGAGCTATAAACCACTTCTTCTTCTTTTTTTATTTTTATTTTTTTTTTAATTTTTTGAGACAGGGTTTCTCTGTAGCTTTGGAGCCTGGCCTGGAACTAGCTCTTGTAGACCAGGCTGGCTTCGAATATAAACCACTTCTTAAAAATACATGTAAACAGAGATGACCAACTTTAGAGAATGCATGAGATTCTTTTTGGCTGAATCACAAACTTGAGGCTGAGAAACTCACAGATTAAAATACTTTCACTCCCAGAAACATTGCCTCTAAAAGGGTCAAAGAGAAGTAATTACCCTCCACGCGGCCCAGGACGATTGTTGTTACATAGGACAAGGTGATTCAATCCATTCCACTTGAAACACAAATGGAAAACAGAGGTTAAAGAAACTCTAGTCCACTAACAGCCCCAGCTCTGTGCTGTATACCTCATTGTCTCCTTTGCGAAGTCTTCTTAATCAGAGGGTCTCAGTTAGCGAGGATGGGCCATACTCCATGAGGAACAATTTCTGAAAATGAGTGTTTGTTTCCCAAAGAGCAGGCAACATTTATATTGGTGAGATCTCAGTGAATCGCAGGATACTTAAGAATTATCACAGGGCTTCTCTTGATGGAAGGTAAAGCTACTAATAGACACCGACCACTAACGCTCTACCAGTTCAGATAGCAGCCAGTCTATTAAGCATGTTGCCTATTATACCTTCTGAAAGTAATCCTCAAATGCAAGCCCAATGACCAGCAACACAGTTCTGTCCGGGGACATGGTCTCGGATTCTGACCAGAGCTTTTCTTCTGAGTTCTAACTCTTCCATTCCTCCATCTACACATGGGTAGCATTCTTCTTCAGGTGTGGTAGGCACATTGTTTAATGAGTGTGTGCTGCTAGCCTAGAGTGCAGTTTCCTATTTCTGCTTTTCCAAAAAAAGGGGGGCGGGGATTAGGTTGAAGGATGGAGGGCTGTACGAAGGAGTAGGAATGAGGGAAAGTGAGACAGGATGAGGGAAGAGGGACAGGGGACATTAAGAATGGTTAATGGTGTGGGTGGGCAGAGACCACGTAGAGGAGGCAGCATGGAAACTATTCTGATTTTTTTGAAATCACGTGTAATAATGAGCCTTCTGTGTTTTGGAGGCAATATGGGATCAGATGTGGGTCTATTGTTAGTCTGGGCTATGTTATTTTGACTACAACCTCACCCTCTCTGAACCATGTTATTCCCCACTTGAAAAAGTAGCTGTTAAAGCAGACCCAGGACCAGTCTCCCCCATTTGGGTGGAACCACAAAGGGGCGTTTAGAACCATCAGAAGAGAGGTCACATCTGGCCACCCATTATTTTTGACCCTCTCGTCGTAATTGCAGCTTTCACTGTGTGTTCCTCTTAGCTGTCTGGCAGGCAAATGTTAGCGCTGGTTATGAAGCCGTAGTTTCCACACTTCCATTAATTTGTTGCTGCGTCTCCAAATGACATGTGCTTTTAAAGATCTATTCTCGGTTGTGTGCAACTCGCTGGGCAAATGATGATTTGTCCTCTTAAGGTGGCTGATCATTTCTCATTTGACTCTATTTGGAGAGTCAGCAGGGCTGACTGTGACCAAAACGGACAGTCTCCCCGGGGCTGGAGCGAGGGAGCTGTGATTGTAATCAGAAGGAGTCTGGTCTTCAGAACAGAGGAAGTGACTCTCATTTAGCTATGCTGATAGGGCTTCTGGGAAGAAGCCGGCATCCTGTCAGAGGGAATTACAGGAAGTCTGAGTTTCTGAGAGGAGAATGGAATTGGTGTGAGCAGCAGGTTCTGGCTGCTTGCTTGGTTGACAGGCTCATGTTAAGGGCAAAGGATCGTGTAAAATAATGGATTATGTGAGGTAGAAGTTTATTTTTTAAAAGTAATTTGTAACCTTGGTAGCCTTGTGCTTTTATGATTTCTGTTTGTGGATGCCTTAACATTTACCTCTGTGTAGTTCTCCTTGTTCCTTTCCCAGCCGCCCAGCCTCCCAACCAAGAAATAATCACACAGAAACTGTATTAATTACAACACTGATTGGCCAATAGCTTAGACACATTCCTGGCTAACTCTTATATGTTAAATGGACCCATTTCTATTAATCTGTGTATTTTCGTGTGGTTGTGGCCTACTGGTAAAGTACTGTCTGGCGCCTGTCTCCTGCAGTGGCTACATGGCTTATCTCTGACTCCGCCTACTCTCTCTGCATGTCTTTTTCAGCCTGGCTATATTCTGACAAGCTATTGGCCAAAAGCAGCATCTTTATTAACCAATGTCAATAATACATATTAATAGTATACAGAGGGGAATCCCACATCACCTCTGTATTAAATCCACATAATTGGATAAACGGGCAAGCCCCTTGATCTGTTAAGTTCTTGTGAGACAGTGATGTCTGAGGGGAAGACTGTTTCAGACCTGTCCTTAGCTTCCTGATTAATCAGGCAAAGAGTTTGTCCTTATTCATTGCTGGATGTTGAGGTCACAGGCACACCTACATCATGGTGGGACATGACGTCTCCATACTTGATGTGGTCAGTCTTTCACGTGATGGAAACTGTACGAAGAATAATTGAGTCTGAAATAAATCCTCTTGGAAGGGAAAAAGCCAGCTATTGTCTGCTTTGTGAAGAAATGTGTTAGCTAATATGATGAACTTATTTTTTCTGATGAAGCTTACAGTCTTTTTCTCCTTTAAACTGAAGAAACATTGAGCCAGGATGGCTGGAAGGCAGAACAGTGCAAGCTGAAGGCTATGATGGGCTGTGTAGAGAGACACATCTCAGAACAAATACATACACAAACACAAGATAGAAACAAACAAAACCCCTAGACAAAACAAATCAAACCAAAAGATGATTTCCTGATTTTTATTACTATGAAGGTAAACTTTTTTCTAATGTATTCTTGTCCCAAAATGTAGTGTTTCTCTTCCTTAAACAATTTTATTGGTCTCAGTAGCATTTAACCTTTCATGCTTTTAAGGATGGATTGGAATATTGTACAAGCTTTAAATTTTTTCTCTTATTGTTAATTTAGTAAAATTATATCATTGCTCCCTTCCTTTTTCTTTTTCCAAAATTCCCCATATACCTTCCTTGCTCTCTTTTAAATCCATGTCCTCTGTTTTCATTAACTGTTGTTACATGCTCCTATGTAAATACATATGCATATACATACATTTCCTAAATGTAGCTGGCTCAGTCTGCATAATGTTACCTGTATATATGTTTTCAGAGCAAGCATTTGGTACTGGGTAACAAACTGATGTGCTCTACCATGGAGAGGACTGTTTCTCCAGCTCTTAACATTCCTCAGTTGCCTGTATTCTTTGTGTAGGGCTGAGGCATCAGGGTCTTTTCTGCTGTCTACTTTGGCATGCCTATTGGTGTCATCCTTGGTATGTCTATTGGTGTCAGCTCATATTTGTGAAGTCATGTTGGTGAGACTTTATGGGTGTAGATCCTGACATTAGTAGAAGGCACAGCCTTACACCAACCTCCCTGATCCTTAGTCTTCCCACCCCTCCTCTGCAGTGATCCCCGAGTCTTAGGTATGTGAGGTGTTCTGTAGATATAGTTGTATTGTGGATGGAGCCATTGGGACTGGGCAAAGGACAACCTTTAACAAATAGTTTCACCAATTCCTTGTCAGTTCTCATGTTTTAAGGTTGCATACAAGAACACATGCTCAGTGGAACATGTTTTACATCTATACCTTCCAGTCCAGAGAATGGTCTACAGCAGCACTTAAATAGTCATTAGAACCCGAGACCTTGATTCCTACCTATCAGGTGCAGAACCTTTGAAACCTGCATTTATCAGGTCTCACAGGTAAGCGCCACAGGAGATCTGAATGCACACTCAAATTTGAGAAATGCTACATACAACAGATGTAAGAACCAAATCTTTTTTTTTTATTATATTCTTAGGCA